ACTAGCAAACCAAATTCAAGCATGTTAAAAGGATCATATACCAAGGTCAAGTGGGATGCATCCCAGCAATGCAAAAATGGTTCAACATATAAAAATAAATGAATATGAGGCACCACATGAATAGAATGAAAGAAGAGAATCATATGATCATCTCAAAAGATGCCAAAAAAGCATCTGACAAATTTCAACATTCCTTCATGATAAACATTGGGAATAGAAGGAATGTACCTCAACATAATAAAGATCATATACAACAAACCTATGGCTAACATTATACTCAAAGGTGAAAGGTAAATCTTTTCTCTAAGATAAAGATCAAGACAAGGGTGGCCACTCTCACCATTCCTATTCAACATAGTTAGCCAGAGCAACCAGGAAAGAAAAGGATATAAAAGGCAATCAAATAAGAAAGGAAGAAGTAAAATTATTTCTGTTTGCTGATGACATAATCTTTTATGGAGAAAATCCTAAAGACTTCACAAAAAAACTATTAGAATAAACAAATTCAATAAAGTTTCACAATACAATACCAACCTACAAATTGATATATTGTGTTTTGATATATTAACAATGAATTAACAGAATATAACGAAATAAATCAATCCCATTTACAACAGCAATAAAACAACAAAATGATTTGCACAAAGAAAACTATAAGACTGTGATGAAAGAAAGTGAAAAAGGGAATTCTCTGGTGGTCCAGTGGTTAGGACTCTGAGCTTCCACTACAGGCGGCCTGGGTTCGATCCCTGGTCAGGAAACTAAGATCCCACGAGCCGTGAGGGAAAGAAAGAAAGAAAAGAAAGAAAGAAAAGAAGGAAGGAAGGAAGGGAGGGAGGGAGGGAGGAAGAAAGAGAGAGAGAGAGAAAGAAAGAAAGAAAGAAGAAAGAAAGAAAGAGAAAGAGAGAAAGAAAGAGAGAGAAAGAAAGAAAGAAATTGAAAAGGACACAAATAAATGGAAAGATATCCCACGGACTGGAAAAATTAATACTGTTAAAATATGCATATTACCCAAAGCCATCTGTAGATTCAATGCAATCCCTCTCAAAATTCTAATGACATTTTTTCATAAAAATACAGAAAACAATCTTAAAATTTGTATGAAACCACAAAAGACTCCAAGCGGCCAAAGCAATCCTGAGAAAGAAAAACAAAGCTGGAAGCACCGCAGTTCCTGTTTTCAACCTATATTAAAAGGCTATAGTAATCAAAAAGTATGGTCCTGGCATAAAAGCAAGTGTTGGGAAAACTGGATATTCACACGTAAATAATGAACTGGACCCTTGTATTACACTATTCACAAAAATTAACTCAACATGGACTAAACACCTATATGTAAGAAGTGAAATCATAAAATTCTTGGAAGAAAACAGTGAGAAATCTCCTTGACATTGGTCTTAGCAATGATTTTATAATTATGACAACAAAACCACAAACAAAGGCAAAAATAAACAAGTGGGACTACAGCAATATAAGGGTTCTGCACAGCAAAAGAACTGATCAAAATGAAAAGGCAACTACAGAATGGGAGAAAATATTTACAAACTATATATATGATAAGAGATTAATATCCAAAGTATATTAAGAAGTCATATAACTCACTAGCAAAAACTAAATTATCTCATTAAGAAATGGTCAGAGGACCTAAATAGACATTTCTCCAAAGAGGATATTCAAATGGCCAACATGAAAAGGTGCTCAACATCACTAATCATCAGAGAAATGCAAATCAAAACCACAAGTGAGATCACCTCACACCTGTTAGAATGGCTATCATCAAAAAGATAACAAATGCTGGCAAGGATGTGGAGAGACTGGAACCCATGTGCACTGTTGGTGGGAATGTAAATCGGTAAAACCACTATAGAAAACAGTGTGGAGTTTCCTGAGAAAAGTTAAATATAGAATTATCATATGAATCAGCAATTCCACTTCTAAGTATATATCTGAGGAAATGAAATCACTGTCTCAAATAGGTCTTTGCACCCCATGTTCACTGCAGATTATTCACAACAGCCAAGATATGGAAACAACCTAAGTGTCCACGGACTAACAAGCAGATAAACTGTGAGATGTGTGTGTTTAATAATCATGTATATATGAATATTATTCAGTCATAAAAAAAAGAAGGAAATCCTGTCATTTGACACAACATGGATGAAGTCAGAGGGCATTACTCTAAGTGAAATAAGTCAGACAGAGAAAGACAAATACTACATGATCTCAGTAGGTGGAATCTAAAACAACTGAACTCACAGAAACAGAGAACAGATTGGTGGTTGCCAGGGCGAGAGCTGGGGGTGGGAATGAGTCAAAGTGGTCAAATGGTACAAATTTCTAACCTGGGGATACAATGTAACTATAGTTAACAATACTGTATTGAATATTTGAAAGCTGCTAAAAGAGTAGGTCTTAAAGTTTCTCAACACACACACAAATGGTAACCATGTGAGATGATTATCAAATATATACATATACATATAACCTTATTGTGGCAATCATTCTGCAATATATACATATATCAAATCATTACATTGTACACCTTAAACTTACACAATGTTATGTATCAGTTGTATCTCAGTAAAACTGGAAAAAAGAGTGGGTCTTGTAAAAAATAATAAACAGAAACCTCAATTAGAGTTGGGCTACCAGAAGGGGAACTCTCACAGCCTGGAGGAGAGCAGAACCCAACAGGAAAAAGAAAGACTTCTCTTCTTCTTTCCTGGCAAGGACTCAGCCAATAAAAAGCCATGGACCCTTTGTTTACTATAGCTCCCTTCAACTTTCTTTTTCCCCTTTATAAAAGTGTTGTTTCCCTTGCCATGAAAGGATCTGCACCTGGCTCAACATGGTTGCAGACCCCGAATCATAATTCTCTGCTGATTCTGAGTAAACCCATCATTTCTGCAGAAATCTGGCAGTCTATTTGTTTTAGATCAACAATCTCATAATGTAAGTTCAGCAAGGTTACTGGATATTTACAAAAATATATAAAAACTGGCCATATATTGATATACACTAGCAGTGAAAAACTGGAAGATGAACTTAAATGATCAAGACCAGTTGCAATAGCATATAAAATACCTAAGAATAATTTTAGCAGTATATGTATTAAACTTTCACAGAGAATTTTTAAAAGACCTGAATTAATGGAGAGGTAAATCATGTTGGTGGACTGGAAGATCCAACATTATTAAGATATCAATTCTCCCCTTTTTTTTTTTTTTTTTTTTTTGCGGTACGCGGGCCTCTCACTGCTGTGGCCTCTCCCGTTGCGGAGCACAGGCTCCGGACGCGCAGGCTCAGCGGCCATGGCTCACGGGCCCAGCCGCTCCGCGGCATGTGGAATCTTCCCAGACCGGGGCACGAACCCGTGTGCCCTGCATCGGCAGGCGGACTCAACCACTGCACCACCAGGGAAGCTCTCTCCCCTAATTGATTCATAAATTACACACCATCCCAATCAAAACCTAAGTAAGCTTTTGTGTATGTGTAGAACTAGACAACCTGATTCTAAAATCTATATGAAAATGCAAAGTTATATATAGACATACATAGTATTGACAAAGCACAAAGTTGGATAGCTTTAACTACCTGATTTCAAAATATTTAACAAAGCTACTATATTCAAGGAATTGATTCTTAACCTAAAAAAAAATTTTTAGAATATTATGATTGGTGTCTATCATTTTAAAATTTCATCTTCATACACTTTGTTGTTGGAATAAACAAAAAATGTATTTTTATATTGATATTTGTATTTTAATTTTATACTGGCTTTTTATAGCATTCTTCCTTAACTCATATATTTTTCCTTTACAAATTTTTATTACAAAAATTCCAATCAAACTTAAAGTCTGAAGAATGGCACCAGGACAACACATACTAACCACTTATATTCAATAATTCCTATCATCTGCTTTATTTCCTCCACACACACATGATCTAATCATTAGTTCTCAGCAAAGAAACATTGTTTTCAGGAGGATTCACAATAGTGACAAAGACCTGGACAATTGGTGACAGTCTTTCCTGAGGCTTTGGCTGAAAGGGGACCGACAGCAAGGACTGAGAATAAAACAAATTCCTAGGGAACATCTGATTCTTCTTTAGCCATGGTGACAAATAACCCCTAGAAATGGTTTTAGATTTATCTAATCAATCAATATGTCTTTTATACTAATGGTAGCAAGTACACACCAGTACAGATTTTAATTCTGTCTAATCTGTCAATGACAATTTGAATCACTGTACATGCTACTAAAAAGTCAACTAAATATACAAATGGGTCAGTATAAAAATCACAGTGTAGCCTTATTTTTCTGAAGCACTGTCAAGTTCGCTCCCCTTGCTACTTTTTATATAGCTTGTTGTAAAAAGAACATAACTGTAGAAAAAGCTCATTCCCATTTTCCAGAAAACAGTAGATTATGAATATTTGATAGCTGTTCCTTCCTACAACAGTCTGCTCCTTGCAAACATAATAAAGAATTGAATGCAATAATAAAAGTTACCTTGAAACAATAATACAATGAACGTCACTTAACAAAAAGTACATGAATGTATACCAATTACTAATTTTGAGGAAAATACTGATTTTATTTTTTTGATATTTATTTTTTATTTGATATTTATTTAATATTTTGATATTTATTTTTATTGTTTAATTTTGAGGAAAATATGTTTAATAATTAACATCAGAATCATACTGATTATATAATAACTATTGATGCAAACATACCACTGCTCAAAACAATTAAACAGACTTACAAAGGCCAAATGTTTTTTAAAACAATATGAAATTATGATCAGTTGACTTTATAAATATTCTGATTTTTAAAGCAATTATATACAGTTTAATTTTTATACTCTTAATTAGTAATAAAAATACTATTAAAGGAAGAATAAACTAAGTAATATATATATATTCTTGCTTTAAAATATTTAGGAAATTTTGAAACATGAAAATAATGAGAGCAAATTTGATAGTAATTACATACCAAAGCAACTCCTCCAGCAAAATTCTTATCACATATTTTTGCAGGATGTGTGGCTCCCATAAAAGTAGGACTTTTCTGGAAGCTAAAAAAATAACAATTTTCCTCATAATTACATTTCAGTGGTATTATTAATGATAATCAGATCAGACACAAGAATGTAGAGATAATATGTAGTAAAAGTTTACTAGCCAAGAGACATCAAAAAATTGTATCACTCATAATTAACCTCCTTTAGTTATTTCAAAACTTTTATGTAATTTTACTTCTTTCAGGTAATTTTATGTCATTTGATAAACGATTTTAAGTCTTACCTCACATTAGCTACTTGAGGACAAAGAGGTTAACCTACATTTTTTTCCCATCCCATGGTGTCTACCAAATTTACAGAACTCAGTATACATTAAGTAAATGCTTGTTTTTCATAATTAACATATAAAATCATTTTGGGTTATTTCTTTATACAAATATGAAATACTATACTCACGCAAATAAGTATGCAGTATGATGAGGTTGGGAGAGAAATTCGTACTTCCATTCTAAAAGTCTATATAATATATGATTAGGATGTCTTGTAGTAGAAATTTTGTTTTTGTTTGACCAAATCTCTATGGAAGATATTCTAACAGTCAGTTTTAACTGGGTAAGCATCTAAATGGAGAAAATAAATAAAATTTTAAAAATAAATTTGAACATTATATTAAATTTTTGTAAAGGTATATTTAAGACATTTAATTCAATATTTTTTTTAATTCAATATTTAAAAAAATTTTTTTTTAATTCAATATTTTGAATGTGGAAACTCTTCAACAGCACAGCAAAATACTATATATATCAATACATATTACCTATAATCTTACAGAATATATTTAAAAAGTAGTTTTAAAATACTTACAGTGTTAACAAAGCCAATGATCTGAATAACCTTCTGTGTTACAATTTTTACATCAGAGCCCATGTAATCAAACTGAAAAAGATAAATTATTATTAAAAAAATAGTGGATACCATTAATATACCACATAGCCTTTATATCTATAATATGCTATATACTAAACTAGCCAGAGGGCTACATTCCAACTGAAATCCAGGAAATGCATATTTACATTTGTATGTGAATAAATAATAATTTATTTAAATAAATTAATTAAATGTATAACTTTATCTATATGAGATAAATAAAAATATTTGATAACATTTAAAATATTTAAATAATGTTTAATGCACTTGTAGCATTATTTATAAAAATTGAATCATAAATTTTTTAAATGTTATTTCAAAATATACTTATTTCTAAAATAATACATATAATCACAAACCAAAAAATATATGCATAAAGAGGGAAAAATCTTTAATAAAAGGTTCACTGTTGAAGTGATCATGGATACTGTGTTAGGTTACATCCTCTGATATCACCACGTTAACTCATGTTACTCATGCTTCTTTATTCCAATAAGCTCTTTCTATTTCTAACTGCTTAAAAATGCCAGGACAATATTAAAAAACAATGGTGATATCAGGAATGTGAGCTTTGCTCCTGAGTTTTCACTGGAAAATCTCAAATATTTCACCATTAAGTGGTGTTCAGTTTGAGTATTCTAGATCATATTGAGAAACACCTACTTATAAATCTTCCTACTTATAAAACTTTTGTTAAAAATGAAGTTGAATTTTTATCCAAAGCCTTTTTGAAGCATACCCAAAATGATAATGACTTTTGTCTTTTGACCTACTGATGGAATACATTTCATTAATACTTTACTTAATATTAAACCATCATTATACTGTTTGATCAAAACATTACATTCTATTAATATACTACCAAAATTAATATAATATTTTGTTTAGAAGTTTGTAGCTTTCAGAACGATGGGCCTGTTGGTCATATGTGCATGCATGCATCCTTTGTCATAACTGAGCAAATGAATGTTGCTTACTAAATATTAAAGCACTACCTAAAATTAAGTTGCTTGTTTTTTCTACATCCTAGAATTGTATTAGCTTATGAATTATATCTTCCTGAAACATTTTTTAAAACTCTCCTTTAAAACTATCTATACTTAACACTGACAACTGACCCATTCAAATTCTTTTTATTTCCAGTTTTTTGAAATATAATTGACATATAAGATTGTGTTAACTTTAAAGTGTACAATGAGATGATTTGATTTAAATTCTTATCTCCAATGGAGAAATCATGAAATTTGCATTTGTTTGTTTGTTTTAATCTCCCCCAAGGACACAGTTATACCATCTTAACCCTTTTCACACCATGTTTTCTTCCTTTTTGCTTAATTACACTTTCTACCTACTTATTTGCCTTTTCAACAGTTTGTGAATTTACTTATCCATTTTAATGTTTCTGTTTATCATCAACTTAACAAATATCAAGTATTTTTCCATATTTTTCTAATATCAAATTATTTCAAGAATATGAATTTCCTCTCCGCTTAGTTTTTATACTATCCTCTGCAACAGGTATTATCTGTATTTACCAATATTCAGTTCTCTCCTAACTCAGGAACCCTTCTTTTAAAGGCAGGTGATTCACTTTGGCCAATGCAATGAGGGCAAAAGTGATGCATGCCACTCCTGAGAAGTATTTCCTTATTGTAGCTCACGTCTCTCTGGTCTGCACTTCTACCGGCTTGGCAATTGGAAAAGAAACTATCAATCTAGAAGTGCCAAAAAATCTAAGCATTCTCTAGTGCTGAGCCAACACATGGAAGACTGCTGCCCTGGAGAGTCAGCCAGGAGCATGGTTGACATTGATTGAATCAATGAAACTTAAATTGTGTTTAGCCACTAAGATTTGGGGAGTGTTTCTTATAAGAGCATAACCTAGCCTCTTCTGATTAATACACATCCACCTAATTTTTAAAACACTATATACAATTCATTAATTTCTAAATAGCTAAAGACTATAGTTTTTCTTTTCTGCCTTGAAAAATTACTCATAATTGTATTTAATTTTTTAATTTTATTATTTTTGCCTTATCTCTTTTTATTCTTTTTTTTTAATATACTGTGATAAAGCTCTGGCAAAATGTTTTTTTTAAATAAATTTATTTATTTTCTTTTTGGCTGCGTTGGGTCTTCGCTGCTGTGCATGGGCTTTCTCTGGTTGTGGCGAGCAGGGGCTACTCTTTGTTGCAGTGTGTGGGCTTCTCATTGCAGTGGCTTCTCTTGTTGCGGAGCACAGGCTCTAGGTGCACAGGCTTCAGTAGTTGTGGCACGTGGGCTCAGTAGTTGTGGCTTGCAGGCTCTAGAGCGCAGGCTTGGTAGTTGTGGCACACGTGCTTAGTTGCTCTGCGGTATGTGGGATCTTCCCGGGTCAGGGCTCAAACCCATGTCCCCTGCATTGGCAGGTGAATTCTTAACCACTGCACCACTAGGGAAGCCCCTGGCAAATTGGTTTTTGCTTTTACAAAACTATTGGTGTTTTCCTTGTGACCTATAGATGACTACATTTGCATGTATTTTCTATATATATCTATAGACATTTGAATGTATGTGGTACCCATTCATAAGATACAAAGGTCAATAAGTCTTTAGTAAAACAAGCTGATAAATAATTTGATCTTTATATGTTAACACTTATTTTCTATCTGTTAAAGGCTAACAGAAATGATTGAATGTACTCCAGTATAGTTTTGGTTTCTGTTAAATTCTTCTGATCACTTCCAAAGGTTTTCTTTTTATACTTTCAACATAATTCACTCAGCATTAAATGCTTATTATTAGAAATTCATCTTTAACTTGAACTGTAACATTCAATATAAAATACTCCTTTAATTCTTCTATCTACACTTTTTTTACCCTGAACTTTATCTATTAGTAATATCATCCTGATTTTCTTTTTTGTTTTGTTTTGTTTTTTTGCGGTATTCGGGCCTCTCACTGTTGTGGCCTCTCCCGTTGTGGAGCACAGGCTCCAGACCCGCAGGCTCAGCGGCCATGGCTCACGGGCCCAGCCGCTCTGCAGCATGTGGGATCTTCCCGGACCAGGGCACGAACCCGCGTCCCCTGCATCGGCAGGCGGACTCTCAACCACTGTGCCACCAGGGAAGCCCCTGATTTTCTTTTTTTATGGTAAATCTTGCACATTTTTGCTGGTCTTTTAAGAAATGTTTTATACCTAACAGTGTCATTTTATGTTAAGCTGTCTCATAAATGTCATCTAATTTGAGATCCTTTGCACATATTAATGGGAATATTTAATCCATTCCATTATTGTAATCAATGAAGCTGACTTACAGTTTTCTATTTTTCCTATTCATGTCTTCATGGTATTTCCTTTTGATTTTTGCTATGTTATAAGAGAATATTTGGAGGGGGGAGGTTCTATATTTCAAGGATATATCTTCAGGATTTTATATTCAGATATGTTTAAACATTGTGCAACAAGTTTCTCCATTTTTATCAACTGGACTCACCTATATAAAAAGGCCTTAACCCCTTATGAGGTGAAAATCAAAAATTTTGAGGATTCATCAGGGTTCAACTCTTTTTTCCAAAATGCATATTAACTCTTACTAGGACGAGGCTGAATATGGTTATATAAATAAGGCACTACTACATCCTGCCAACTGACTGAATGCATACACTGCCTTTCTCTTTCTTTCTGACTTAGTGATAAAGTTGGTATATATAACTGTTTTGAAGTGTGTGTTTTTTAGTGCTACCCAACTCTTAAATTTTTAGATCAAATTTATTGAGGTATAATATATATACAATTAAATTCCCCCATTTTAAGGATTCATTAATTTTGAAAAATAGCACTTACTTTATATTCTGAAAAAATTCAACCTTCAGAAAACATAAAATTCAAAGACATGGAAAACCACCAAACCAAAATGACAGACAGAAATACAAGAAAAAAGAAACAATGGAGATACAGAGCAGCCAGAAAACAAAAGCAGCATTATGAAGACCTCATTTATCAATAATCTCCCTAAATGTAAATGGACTGAATTTACCAACCAAAAGACACAGAGTGGCTGAATGGATTAAGAAACAAGACCCAATAATATGCTGCCTCCAGAAGACACATCTTAGCTCTGAAGACAAACACAGGCTCAAAGTGAAGGGACGGAAGAGGACACTCCAAGCCAATGGCAGCCAAAAGAAAATGAGTGTAGCCATACACATAACAGACAAAATAGACTTCAAGCCAAAAAAAGTAACAAGAGACAAAAATGGACAGTATATAATGATAAAAGGAACAATTCATCAAGAACACATAACAGTTATTAATATGTATGTACCAAACATAGGAGAACCAAAATATATAAAGCAATTATTAACAGACCTAAAGGAAACAGTGGCCTTAAATGAAACATTAGACAAGATGGATTTGATAGATTTGTACAGAACATTCCATCTAAATGCATCAGAATACACAGTCTTCTCAAGTGCACATGGAACTTTCTCAAGGACAGACCGTATGTTGAGAAACAAAACAAGTCTCAATAAATGTAAGAAAATTAAAATCATATCAAGCATCTATCCCAACCACAATGTTATAAAACAAGAAATCAACTACAAGAAGAAAGCTCTGAAAATCACAAATGTGTGTAGACTAAACACCATTCTTTGAACAACTACTGGATCAAAGAAAAAATCAAAGAAGTCAAAATTACCTGAAGACAAATGAAAATGCCACATATCAAAACCTGTGGGATGCGGTACTAAAAGGAAAGTTTATATCAACACCAGATTACCTCAAGAAATTAAGAAAAATCTCAAAGAACCAACCTAACCCATACCTAAAGGAACTAGAAAAAGAAGAAAAAGTGAAGCAAAAAGTCAGTAGACAAAAAAGGAATTAATAAAGATCAGAGCAAAAATAAATGAAAGAGACTAATAAAACAATAGAGAAGATAGATGAAACTAAGAGCTGGTTCTTGGAAAAAAAGAAAAACCTTTAGCTACACTAAGAAAAAAGAGAGAAACTCAGAGAAAATCAG